AAAAAAAAAAAAAAAGGAATCACCCATTCTCCACTATTACTTCAAAATATCCAAGCAGAGAGGAAAATGATAGAAAAACTTGGGAGTGAAAAGGAATACCAAACCGATATTACAAAGAGCTGCTACTTCCCCAGATTTTCTAAAAGCAGGAAAGTGCCGACAACAACCAGCTGTATTTGAGGAGTGTTTGTCATCACCTGCCAACTTTTTCTGGGTCTATCTTTGAAGACTAAACATTTCCATGTACACTGTTTATGTTTCGACGGGAACCAAATAACAGATTATTTATTTACTGAGGGCCTACGATGTGCGATGCACTGAGGAAGTAAGCACTCAACAGGCATTTCACCTATCCCACGACAGCCCAGTGGGGTAGGCCTATTATTCCCACTTTGCAGAAGAGGAAACTGAGGCACAAATAAAGGGTGGGGTGGGAGCTGAACCAAGCAAAGTGGCTCCCATTCCCACACTCTCCTCACCTCTTCCTACCTGGGTTGTCGTTTTTCTGACCCGCGGCTACTGTAATGACCCTGTTTACCTGCTGGCCCTTGAGTTTTGAGACCGTTTGGGGTGCATAGTGTGGCCACACCCCTCCCCTGTGTATAAGCCAGGAAAGCCGAGCGCTCAATAGGAACCGAGCCTCATCTCAATGCTCACAGTCGCTCTATAGGGTGGTCGCTCCAGCACTCCCAACTTACTAGTAAACTGATACACTGATGCTCCTAATGCGGAAAAGGCGTCGAAACTGGGGCCACGCTCCCAGACCAAGCGAAACACCACGTCACGGGTATCTCCGCCCCGCCCCAGCTGAGCCTTTTTATGAGCGAGCCCTACGGGTCGCGTACAGGGCCACGCCCAGTCGCTAATTTTTGGTCCACTGTACCCCGTGGATCCGGCCAAAGGTTGTCATGCGCGGCGCACTCTGGGAAAACTGCGGGGACATGCCTAACAGGACCCTGCCGCCTCTAACTTTAGTTGTCTTAGCTATTGCCTACAAAAGATGCGCCATCATGGCACTTATTTTTGTCATTTTCCTCCACCAGCGGCCGAGACCAGAGCCGAACCCTTTGACAAAAATGTTTCAAGACAGTTGAGTGTCTCCTGGCGCCTCAGGCATTCATTCGGGCAGCCTGCCTCTCTCGGGGTCCTTCACTTTTGGCACTGCTGGTTACAGACAACCGATAGTAGCGGCTGCCAATGAGCTCCGCCGAGTAGGACGGGGGCAGGGCTAGGGCTTAAAGGAGCCGTGACCCCTTTGCCGGCCAGAGGGTGACCCGGATGATGGCGGCCGGCACTGCCCTAGCCCTGGCCTTATGGCTACTAATGCCACCCGTAGGGGTGGCAGGGGCGGGACCCCCTCCAATCCAGGACGGTGAGTTCACGTTCCTGTTGCCGGCGGGGAGGAAGCAGTGTTTCTACCAGTCTGCGCCGGCCAACGCAAGCCTCGAGACCGAGTACCAGGTAGAGGGTCGAGGGCTGGGCAGCCAGCGGAGTCAGGGAGAGGGGGCGTGGCCAAGCCGCCGAGGTGAGGCGCGCTTGAGGGGGAAGAGGGAGGAGTCCGTGCGTGGGAGCGCGGGGGTGGGGCTGCAAAGAGATGGACAGATGGGGCGGGGACGGCGTGTGCGAGCGGAAGGGGAGGGAGTAATAAAGAAGGTGGGGCTAGAGTGATACACCCAGAGGGGGCGGGGCCAACGAGAAGTATAGGTAGCATATGAGAGGACGGGACTCTCGCTGCTGGGCGTGGCGATAATGCTGATAGGTCGACAACGGGGGCGTTGCTGACAAGCCTTTCTCGGGGGTTAGACTAAGGAAAGAGGCAGGGCCTATCGTCTTTTGGAGGCGGAGCTAACCAGGGGCGTGGCCAGGTAAACGTCCTTCGAGGACTTTTGATAGGTGCGTGGTCAGCTGAGCTCAAAGTATGGACCCCAAGCTGTCATATCAATGAGGGTGGAGGCAAGGGGCGCAGCCATTGGGACAGGTTGGGGCGGGACCGATTGTGGGTGTGCCGGCATTCAGGTAAGCCTTTCGTGGTCTGTATGGGTCAGTGTGTGGTTCAGCCATAGCCCTCTTTGGTAGGCACCCTTGGCCTACCGATAGCCCTTCAGCCGCTCTTACCTGTCCCCCAGGTGATCGGAGGTGCTGGGCTGGACGTGGACTTCACGCTGGAGAGCCCTCAGGGCGTGCTGTTGGTCAGCGAGTCCCGCAAGGCTGATGGGGTACACACGTGAGTTCAGTCCGGCTGCCTGCCTAGATCAGTTACTGTCCTGCCTCTCCCAGGTGGCCTCAGGTTACTGCCCTGACTGCCCCACTGAGTTGGCTGGTTGGACACCTTGGGTCATGTTTGTGGGTCTATCTGTCTGCCCAGGGTGGAGCCAACGGAGGCCGGGGACTACAAGCTGTGCTTTGACAACTCCTTCAGCACCATCTCCGAGAAGCTGGTGTTCTTTGAACTGATCTTTGACAGCCTGCAGGATGACGAGGAGGTCGAAGGATGGGCAGAGGCTGTGGAGCCTGAGGAGATGCTGGATGTTAAAATGGAGGACATCAAGGTATGTCCAGGCTGCGCTGGGGCTACTCCTTCCATATCTCTAGGATTCAGCTGGGGTGCCCCTCCTTGGCCTCACCCACCCTCCTGTCTGTACTGGTGCCCTCAACTGAACTAGTAACAGTAGCAGCAATTAAAATAGTTCATTTCAGGCCGTGCATGGTGGCTCACACCTGTAATCCCAGCACTTTGGGAGGCTGAGGCAAGTGGATCACCTAAGATCAGGAATTCGAGACCAGCCTGGCCAACATGGTGAAATGCCATCTCTCCTAAAAATACAAAATATTAGCCAGGTGTGATGGCAGGCACCAATAATCCCAGCTACTTGGCAGCCTGAGGCAAGAGAATCACTTGAACCCAGGAGGCAGAGGATGCAGTGAGCCAAAATTGTACCATTGCATACCAGCCTGGGGAATAAGAACGAAATTGTCTCAAAAACAAAAAAACCCCCAGCAGTTCATTTCTAGGTGTAAACGTGGTTTAAAGGTTTAAGGAACTTGTATCATAAATAATTCATACCGTAAATCTCCATAACCATCTTGTGAAGTAGACCTTGTGGTCAAATTATACCCATTTTACAGGTGGGAAAAGTGAGATACAGGATGGCTGAGCAACTCAAGGGTACACAGACCAACTAGCAGAGTTGGTACTGAACCCAGACTGGTTTCAGCAACTGTGCTCTTAACCACAAGCAAATATGTTCTGTACGTTTATTACTGTTTTAATTAACTATTGTTTTATTTTATTTTATTTCAGACAGATCTCTCTTGGTTACCCAGGCTGGATTGCAGTGGTGCAATCTCAGCTCACTGCAACCTCTACCTCTCAGGTTCAAATGATTCTCCTGCCTTAGCCTCCTAAGTAACTGTGCTACCATGCCCAGCTAAGTTTTGTATTTTTAGCAGAGACAGGTTTTCACCATGTTGGCCAGGCTGGTCTCGAACTCTAGATCTCAGGGGATCTGCCCACCTCGGCCTCTCAAAGTTCTGGGATTACAGATGTGAGCCATAGCAAGGCAGGGTCTTGCTCTGTCACTCAGGGAAGAGTGCAGTAGTGTGATCATAGCCCATTGCCGCCTCAAACTCCTGGGCTCAAGCAATCCTGCCACCTCAGTGGGACTGCAGATGCACACTACCATGCCTGGATAATTTTTTGTTTTCTGTAGAGATGAGGTTTCACCATGTTGCCCAGGGTGGTCTTGAACCCTTGGGTTTAAGTGATCCTCCTGTCTTGGTCTCTTAGTGTTTTGATTATAGGTGTAATCTTGCCTCAGCCTCCTGCGTAGCTGGGATTACAGTTGCACACCACCCCCCGTCTAATTTTTTGTATATTTTGTAGAGATGGGGTTTTGCTCTGTAGCCCCGGCTGGTCTCAAACTCCTGGGCTCAAGTGATCCTCCCAGCTCAACGTCCCAAAGTGCTGGGATTACAGGCGTGAGCCACCATGCTCGTCCTTGTACATTTATTTAGGCATTAAATTTTCACAGCAATTTGGCAACTTATAGAAGAGGAAACAGGCTCAGAAAGGTTAAGTTGCTTGCAGTCACACAGCCAGGGAGTGGTAGAGTGAGGACTTGAACTTAGCCTGAACAAGTCTGTCTTTGCAGCTGTACCTCCCAGGGCTAACATAGCCTCCCCCCATATCCCCAGGCTTTTTTGATCTCTGCTCCCCAATGGGCGGAGGCCTGACCCCTCCACTCCCTCTGCCCTGCAGGAGTCCATTGAGACTATGCGGACCCGGCTGGAACGCAGCATCCAGATGCTGACGCTGCTGAGGGCCTTCGAGGCACGTGACCGCAACCTGCAAGAGGGGAACTTGGAGCGGGTCAACTTCTGGTCAGCTGTCAACATGGCAGTGCTGCTGCTGGTGGCTGTGCTGCAGGTCTGCACGCTCAAGCGCTTCTTCCAGGACAAGCGCCCAGTGCCCACATAGCCCCTGCCACAGAAGGAAGAACGGGACGAAGGAGGGGCAATGGGGTGTGCGCATGTGAGACTTGGGGGTCCCTCCCCAATTTTAGGTTCCTGCCAAAGGAGGAGTGTGCAGTCGGGGCCTGAGGTCTGGCCCTGTGAGTCTCCTTCCGTCCTCAGCGGGCAGGGAATGCCTCTGGCTTGCAGAAGGGGCGGCTCGGCGGCTGCATTGATGTTTCTGGAAATCTCGCAGGGTGGGCACTGCAGCGTTGGAATGGGAGCCTCGGGTTTCCTGGCCCCTCTACTGTAAATGTGCCTTAATCTAAGCCTTCCATGTTGTATGAGCATTGCCAGGTGTGGGGCAGGGCCTAACAAGGACACCTGGGTCCTCCAAGCCAGGTTGAGGTCTGGTAATAGAACACCAGTAAGGGGCCTGCAAGATCACCTGCCCCACCCCCTCTCCCTGTAGGGGCCCCACACAGGCATGAGTGGTGGCCCCGCCAACGTGTAGGCAGAAGCCTCCTGCAACAAAGGGTGGTGTGGCCTGGGCATCGGAGTCAATAAATTATGGTCAGAAAATCACAGAGCCTGCTGACTGGGGCTCAGGGACACCAGCTGGGACAGACCAGCCCCGAGAGGGCAGCCAGACAGGCGGGAGGGGCCTCCCACGAAGCTCAGAAGAAAGGTCGTGCGGGAGCCGATGGAGGTGGTCGCCTGGCACAAGAGAAAAATCAGAAAGCAAAGTTTAACTGAGCCCTGGCTGGGCCACGAGACCTGGGCTTCCCCATGAGAGGGTGAGAAGCAGGGACTGAGGGTAGGAAGGGGGTGAAGTGCTGGGGTCCCTGCTCCACCAGGCAGCAGCCAGGCCTGTGCGCATGGGGGTCTGTGGGGGAGTGGAGAAGATTTGCTTGCATTCCTGGTGTGCTAAAGAAAGTAAAAGGTCTCCCGTGTATCAAGTGGCTTCCTCCGAAAGGTGACCCCCCTGAAAGCAGAGCCCTCAGGGAGTGAGGTGTGAGGCGCTTATGATTGTAGGGAACTGGGCATCCTTGTGAGAGGCCTGATGGGAGAGGTGGTGCCCACGTCCCCAGCCTGAACACCAACACAAGAGGCCCACACAGCAGCCACCAGCAGCGTCTTCCCTTTATTTTAGTTTATTAATAGGATACAGAGTGCAGGCACTTACAGTGGTCAAACTGAGCGAAGAGTGGGTGAGGTCTGCTCAGAGGCCGCCCGGGGTCCACCCCGTCAGGGTGGCACGGGCGGGAGCTGAGAGGCCCCCAAGGTCCCCCTGCCACCACCATCCACATAGCCCCAAGCCCAGCCACCCTGGGGGACCCAGGAGGAGGAGGAGGAGAGAGGAGTAGGGCGATGCTGGCCCGGGCCAATGGCTCCGGGCCTGGCAAAGGCACCTCTGGCAGCCGAGGCTAGGCCAGGCTCAGGCTGTGTGGTTAATATGGCCAAGAAGGACTATGTACAACTAAGGCCTGGCAGCCAGGCACTGCCAAGCCCACAGGGCCAGGCTCACCACTGGGGAGCTCCTGCTGATGGGAAGCTGACATGCCCCTGTGCTCCAGCAAAGCCCGGGGACACAGGCGCCCTTGGTGCCCCCACTTCTAGAAGGCCCCTGCCCTACATGGGCTTTCCCAGGCCAAGAAGACCCTGGCAGAGTCCTCCAGGCTGGATCCCTCATTCAAGATGGTGTCGAGGGTGCAGGTCCCCCCTCTGCCACCCTGAGACCCCATCCTCCAAAGTGCAACACCCCAGCACCCCCCGCCTGGAATTCCAGGGCCCTTTCTCGCAGTGCGGTGTCCAGCCAGGCACAGGGGCCGGCCCTGGACCCGGGCCAGGGTTAGGGAAGAGGCCGGGGCTGCCCACTGGGAGCCTGGTCCCAGCATAGGGGCAGTGGAGGGCCCCAGACCACCGAAGCTCCTGCGCCATGGGTGCGCGAGGCCCCCCGAGAGCATGCCCCCACTCGAGGCCTAGTCGAGCAGGGATGGCTCGGCTGGGCGGATAATGGTGGGCCGGCTGGGCGCAGCAGGGGGTCTTCTGCTGCAAAGAAAATAAAGACAGGTGGGGAGGAGGAGACGGCAGTGAGGCTGTGAGCCAGAGGCAGGCCTGGTCGAGGACCCAGCCCCCACCCAAACGCCACCCTAGGGTGCTCCCCAGGCTGACAGCTCCACAAGCCACCAGGGTGCTAGGGAGGCGATTGCTGAACCCAGGCATCGATTCACCTGTTGTTTGACCCTCGGTGAGTTTCCTGCCCTCCCTGGGCCTCAGCTTCCCCACTGGGTAAGTAGAGAGAATAAGGCCCGGCCCACAGGGTAGGGTGAGGCAGGCAGAGGCAGGAAGAAGAAGGTAAACAGTGAGAGAAGGTGCCCAGCGTGAGGGATCCCCAGCTGCCTGGTAGCGCACCCCAGTGGGCAGAGGGCAAGCTGGGAGCCCTGGGGTCACCAGGCTCCCCTACTCTGTGACACCGAACAAGCCTCTTGGCCTCTCTGGGCCTACTTCCCAGCCAGCCAAACGGGGATGAGGACAATTCCTCCATTCCAGCAGCTGGGCATGTGGGGAGAGCTCACTGGGAGGCAGTGAGACTGGAGGAGAGACCCCAGGGTACAGGCAGTTGGGGTGGGGGGCAGGGGGTTGGCCTTACCTGGGCACTCCTGGGGGGATCCCTGGGGGGATCCGAACTGGCCGCGATGGGATCTGAGGTGGGGCCGGGAAGAGGTCATTGTTGGCAAACACGCTCTGGGGTCCAGGCCGGTATGGGATTGGGGGTGGTAAGGAGGAGGTTGCTGCCCCCACGGGCAGAGGAATCATGGGGGGCCCTGGAGTGGGACCCCTCACCGCTGGGGGCCGGCCTGGGGGGTGCACGCTGGACACAGGTCGGCGCTGTGGAGTAGGGCTGTGAGGAAGGAGAGGGTGTGAGCTACAGATGGAGTGGGAGTCCCAACCATGCCAATTGCGGCTGCCAGAGCCCAAGGCAGAGGCAGGCTGGGGGGACAGTGCAGGCGCAGTGGGATCCTCCCACCCCAACCTGAGCGCCAGACCCACCTTCCCTTGCCCCCGGTCCCCAAGGGCTTCTGTTGCCCTCTGACCTCATCCCCACAGCCCCCACGTGGCCAGGCACTTCCCACTCACAGGGCTCCCTCAGGTCTCCGGCCCTGGGATCCACCCTCACAGCCAGACACTTCCAGAGACCTCCAGATCAAGCCTTAAAGCCTTCAGGGGCCATGGAACACACAAGCCCTTCCCAGACACCTAGGTTCCCTCCTGGGCCCCAGCATGTGCCGCCTGCAGGCCTAGGTGCAATGTACTCCCCCTAGGGAACACCATGGCTCCCTGAGGGCTCTATAGGGCAGCCCCCTGAGGTTCCCGTGACTGCCTCAGTGGCCTACACTCCATCCGACAGCTCGGGGGCGGGGCAGCTCTGGCCACACCTTCTGTTTGCCCCACCAGAGCCTCCCACCCGCCCTTCTCTGTGCTCCAGGAGGCTCATCTCTGTTCTCTGGCTGCTGCCCCTTGAGCCTCTTATCCTGGCTTCCATTTGGGCAGTGCCGATGGAAGGCACCAGCAGAGGGCAGATGGGGTGTATTTATTCACGGCTTCCAGCCCTAGAGCTCCAAGGCTGGCTGGCCCCTGTTCCCCCTCTCTCCCTTCTCAGGCCTCAGCAGGGCAGCAGCTCCCACTGTCCCCAGCCTGGGGGCCGCCCCTTCTCCTGCCCACCCTTGGGCTGTGTCCTGTTTCCTGCCAGGACCCTGCAGGACACGAGGGGAGGACAGGAACCCGCAGGCTGCAAGCTTGTGGGTAGGGGAAACAGGCTCCCGGACCTGTGGCTGCTAGGGCTCTGGAGCCAGGTGTCGTCGACGGGCGGGGGCACGGGCGTGGACACGGTGCTGGTGCTGATGTCGCCGATGATGTTGAGCGCCTCCTTCAGGGCGTGGTACATGCGCAGCATGTCGTCCCGCCGCTGCGCCTGGTCGGCTGACTCCTCCATGAGGCTGCTCTGGTCCGCCGAGGAGTACAGGTAGGCCAGCAGCTCATGGTGGATAAAGGCCTTTGTCTGCGGGCAGGGGTTGGGGAGGCTCAGGCTTCTGCATCACCCCAACCCAGAACCCATAGTGACTGCTGGAAATGCATCTCCCACAGGGCGAGGCCACCCCCAGACTTCTTTGAGAAATCTTGCTCTGTTGCCCAGGCTGGAGTATAGTGGCTCAATCTTGGCTTGCTGCAACCTCTGCCTCCCAGGTTCAAGCAATTCTGCTGCCTCAGCCTCCCAAGTAGCTGGGACCACAGGCACACACCACCACGTTTGGCTAATTTTTGTAGCGATGGGGTTTTACCATGTGGCCCAGGCTGTTTATGAGATTCTTATTGAACTTACTCCTAGTATCTTGTCTCTTCTGTTGATATCTTTTCTCCTGTCTTAGCTTATTTATTTCCTTAACCTTGGCAGAATAATCCTGTTATATTTTTGTTTATGTTTTTGTGACAGTCTCACTCTATCACCCAGGCTGCAGTGCAATCTCGGCTCACTGCAACCTGCATCTCCTGGGTTCAAGCAATTCTTGTGCCTCAACCTCCAAGTAGCTGGGACTATAGGTGTGCACCATCACCCCGATCTAATTTTTGTATTTTTAGTAGAGACAGGGTTTCACCATGTTGGTCAGGCTGGTCTTGAACTCCCAACCTCAGGTGATCCACCCGCCTTGGCCTCCCAAAGTGCTGGGAATACAGGCATGAGCCACTGCTCCAGCCCCAAAGCTGGTTTATAAAGCTTTTTGAGTGTCTAGTGCCATGCCAAAGGCATGACCCACAAATGCCCTGAACCCTCCAGCAGCCTGAGCTGGAGATCGTATCAGCACAACTGTATTTCACAGAAAAGGAGCTCAGGGCCCTGAGAGTCTCCAGGGAACCTGGAGCCAGGCAGGTGACGCCCATGAGGAAGACAGGCTGCACCCCCAGCCCATCAGGACACAGCAGCTGCCCAACACGACCTGAAGGCATGGTTGCAACCAAAGTGAACGTGGGTTTGAATCCCACTTCCTACTCTCCTAAGGGACTTGGGGCAAGTTACCTTATCTCTCCGGCCTCCAGTTTTCTGTCTGTGAAATGGAGTGCAGTGGCACGACCATAGCACTGCAGCCTCAACCTCCTGGGCTCAAGCGATCCTTCTGCCTCAGCCTCCCAAAGTGCCAGGACTACAAACTGGTGTGAGCCAGGGTGCCCGGCCTCTTTCTCATTTTTTTTTTTTGAGATGGAGTGTCACTCTGTTGCCCAGGCTGGAGTGCAATGGCATGATCTCGGCTCACTGCAACCTCTGCCTCCCAGGCTCGAGCCACTGTCCTGCCTTAGCTTCCTGAGTAGCTGGATTACAGGTGCCCACCACCACAGAGAAGATAGCATTTCTCCCTCGTGCAGTTAGTCTGAGGCAGGCATAAGGTAATTGAGAGAAGGTGCACATCTGCGGTGTTCGTTCCAGTTAGTGGACTCAATGGGACCATGGACCCCGTATGGCTCAGAAGCCCTAGGGTTTCCCAGAGAGATTGGCCATGCAGATTCCGGTGTTTAAAGGGTGGTGACTTGTTCTAATTTGTTGTTGTTGCTGTTGTTGGAGACAAGGTCTTGTTCTGTCGCTTGGGCTGGAGTGCAGTGGCATGACCACAGCTCACTGCAGCCTCAACCTCCTGGGCTCAAGTGATCCTCCTGCCTCAGCCTCCCAAAGTGCTACCGACAGGTGTGAGCCAGGATGCCTGACCTCCTCATTTTT